AAGGACTGTATTAAATCTAGTTATCAGTATAAAATTCAGTAACAAGTGGGAAAAAAATGAGTCTCGTATATACATCTGATTGGAAATGTGAAGTTCTGTTTGGATATTGATTCTGCCAGACCAGTTTCCTCTGATGTAGAAAATGTAGTATTTTCATAAAATTGGGGGAAAATTTCTATTTCAAAAAGTATGCATACATAACACGCACACCTACAGTGATTCAGAAATCTACACAACAATATGATAGCAGTAATTATCTGAGTGATGTGATTATGGATGGTTTTATTTTCTTTCATTTGCTTCTCTATTTTTTTTCAAATTTTCAACAGTGGATGCACATTACTAATATGAAAAAAATATGGTTAAACATACTTACTAAGCACTGCCCACAAAACATATGAAACAAAAACAATGAGAGAAGAAGCTCTCAGACATTCACACCTAAATGTGAACTCATTTAAATTTCTAATGCTGAAGGGAATAAAACAGATACTTACAGATTTAAAACCTGAAGATCAGGGTAACTGGTTTAATTGAATTCTAATAGCTGTTAAGTGACCACACTAGGGCACAGAATACCAAACAGGAGGCTCTGAATCGCCAAAAGGAAGCATGAAGGTGCTGGGCTCTATGAGAAAGGAGCAAAAATAAAGGGCTGAATGCAGCCCAAAGCTGAGAATTCTCCCCCCCCCCCACCTTCTTCTGGAAGGTATGGAAAGCTATTACTAATCTTGTCAGGACCTGCTCCACTTCCCTTGCTCATAGGAAAACCAGCCTTTAGCAAGTGGACCCCTAAAATCTACCTCCACTCTGCTAGTGGTTACCTACATGCTTTTCTTTTTCACTCACTTCCCTGACACTCTTCAATGTCTGTCCTAAACAAGGCCTACAAGGCCTTGCAAGATATGACTCTTGTCTTGTTCTCATCACTGCTTTCCTCAGAGCCAGCATCCCAGCAATGAGAGCTACTTATGGTTCCCCATACTTAGACCTTGTTTTATTAGCTATTCTGTGCCTTTCCTGGATGTCCATTCCCACTTCCCACTTCTTTTACCTGACTGAATTCATGTTCAATCATCACACCCAGAAAGCTTTCTGTAAACTCCCACCCCCATTCCTGGACTGGGCTGGGTGCCCTTGTGTAGAGCTCTCAAATTATTGCACTTAGTCACTGCCGTGGACCTAAGTTTATGTGTCCATTGATTTCACTAGATTCTAAGCTCCTGAGGCCAGAGACCAGACACACCTTACCTTTGTACCCCAAACACAGTGCCTGGGACACTGTAGGTATACGACTTACCCAGACTAAATTACCAGTACTCGTGCACCCTTGTAGGAATGGAGCCCCTTTCACCTTTCATACATATCCAGAGCTCACTACTACTCAGATGCAGAGGTGAGACTTTCTTCCCCCAAAGAAAGTTATCTGGAACCCCATTGCCCATAATCAAAATTTCTCCCTTTCTTAATCTTATCTAGAACTGAGTCCTCCCCACAAATCCCCGGCTTAACTGCAATCTGGCCCTTCTTGAAAAATACTCCTCCTGCAACTTTCCCATGCATATGTTGCTCATTCCCTACATCCCGTGTACCCTGGTATTACTGCCTTCTTCTCCTCCAAACCATTTCCAAACTAATACTCCTTCAGTATCATGTAAACGCCCTTGTCCCTTTGAGGACATGTGGCAATATCACCCTATGAGGAAGGGTCCTCATTCTGGTAACCTAACCTCCACCATTCATTGATAGTTTGGCACCTGGCTTATTCTTCCCCTCCCTCCTCGGTCTGGAGACTTCACTGTCCATAAAACCACCCACGCTAGCTTCTCTGTTCTTTGACCATCTCAACTGAAATGACCTACACCCCCATTCAGCCTACTACCAAACCCGACACTTGTCTTGTCCCGAAGTGCTCCACTCTTGAAATTTCAAATTCAGACAGCTCTCAGTGACCTTCAGTCCCCCGTCCCTTCCACATTCTCCCTGTCATCAACTCCACCTCCACTTCAGTTCTGAGGCAGTCTAGACTCCATAGCCCATTACTCCAGTAACTTTTGCCAGAGTCCTTAATATATCCACCTTGTCATCCTTTCATGTCCCAGAGCAAACCCCAATCCTAGATCAATCATCTCCCATCTCCACCCCTACAACAGAATATTGAGTATCACCACAGGAAATCCCTCAAGTGCTCTAATTGCTGCCACTACACATTCAGTCTCTAATGTCACCCAGACCCTCAAAGCTGCCTGTTAACACCAGTTTGCCTAGTAAGGTCTCCATCTTGCTCTACAGCTGTTGCCTCAGCATTTCTCCCATCTCCTCAGATCTCTGAGCCTGCTACTTTTCTCTCCACCCTCAGCAGACGACCATGAAAGAATACCACAGGGAAAAAAAAAAAAAAAAAGACACCAGGCAGGAATCTGTCAACTTTTTACCTTAACATCTGCAAATTCAACTACATGATAAACATTTCTTCCTGGCAAAATGTTAAGAGATGTGCTTCTACCACCTAAGATCAAAATCTCCAGTGTGTGCTTAAAGCTCATCCTTCCAGGTCTTCATAGGATCTTGCTCCATCATATATTCTTTCCCTTCATCCCTCCTTTCTAACTCCTTCCCATATTAGTAGTTCATCCTCTGATTTCCCTCATCCTCCCCCAACACACACATACAAAAAACTGTCATCTCATGTCCTTTCTTTTACATCCAGCTTTAGCTTATTCTTCCTTACTTCACAGCTAAATTTCTGGAAGACATATTTGCTCTCCCTAGTGCTTTCTCTCATTTCTCTCATTTCTTGCTGAGCCCACTGATAAATGGTTTCTACTCTCCATACTTTATTAATATGGTTGCTCCCCATGTCACATGTCCAGTGGGCATCTCAGGTTCATCTTCTGGTTCTTTGGAAAGCCTCATACTCCTGGGCTTTCTGCTGCCTTCTCACCTCTTCTTGATGGTAATGGGATTCCCTTCCTCTGCTATGCAGTAAATACATTTTTCTGTCTCTGAGTTCCTCCCTAGTCCTCTTTTCTTCCTATATGTTCACTAGATAATCTCTTCCACTGCCTTAACTACACTAACCTTTTTAATTTTTTAAATTTTTCTTACAATTAACCTTTTTCAAAACTATGTCCAAATCTTTACACCTTGAGAACAGATGTCTCTCCTTCAAATCTATAAATCCAACTGACTACTCTTTATCTCCTCTTAAATCTTCTTTTATTATCTCATGGGCTATTCAATATTAAAATATATCTGATATTGAACTAACCATACCCCCCCTCCCCTTGCTTTGTTCTTTCTCCTACTACCTTATCTCAGTGACAAAAATCTCTTTCATTCTTTTGCACCTCTCTTATCTTCCAGTTCAATCAAGCACTAAGTCCTAACAATTTTATTTCCTACAACTTTGGAGGGGCCTGGCTGGCTTGGTTGGAAGAACATGTGACTCTTGATCTTGGGGTCACTGAGTTCAAGCCCTACATTAGGTGTAGGGATTACGAAAGAAAGAAAGGAAAAGAAAGGAAAAAAAGAAAAGAAAAGAAAAAAGAAAGGAAAAGAAAAGAAAGAGAAAGAAGAAGAAAAAAAAGAAAAGAAAATAAGAAAACTTAAAAAAAAAAAAGAAACAAAAAATTTTGGAAATCTTGGGGCGCCTGGGTGGCTCAGTCATTGGCCATCTACCTTCGGCTCAGGTCATGATCCCAGAATCCTGGGACTGAGACCCGCATCAGGCTCCCTGCTCAGCGGGAAGCCTGCTTCTCCCTCTCCCACTCCCTCTGCTTGTTGTCCCTCTCTTGCTATGCCTCTGTCAAATAAATAAATAAAATCGTGAAAACCAAACAAAACTTTGGAAATCGATCCATGTTTCTCAATATCACCGCTGCTATTTAGCACAGCGGTTAAGAATGCTGGTTCAGAAGCAACACTTACCAGGGTTTAAATCCTCATTCCACTACATATTATCCAGCTCTGATTCTGGACAAGTAATAAGCTCTCAAATGCCTCAGTTCTTATCAGTCAAAATATGTTCCCTGACATTAGTGCAGAACGTCACCTCTACCTTGGATTACTCCAACATCATCTTAAGAGGCCTCCTGACCGCCAGTCTGGCCCTTCTCCAATCCAGTCTCAGTGCAGCCAGTCATCTTTTCTAAAACACAGATCTCATCATGTTACTCCTTACTTCAAATCTTTTTTCAAGAGAATGTTTAAACTTCTTAACAATGCACACAAGACCTTTAAGATCTGGTCCCTGTTAAATACTAATCATTCTCTCTTATTCCCATCCTCTGTCTGCCATATGCAAACCACACTTAACTGTAGGTCCTCAGACTTCCTATGGTATTCTTTGGCTCTGGATACCTGCATATGCTGTTCTCCCTGCCTGCAAACCTCTCTTCTAAACTCTTCTTCCCACCATACACATACTTGCTTAGATCAACAGATACTTTTAACAACTTCTTTTGGGTATCACCACTTCTAAGACCTTTTTTTCTTTTTTTAAACTTCTAAGCCCTTCTATCTCCAAGACTGGTCTGGTACTCTCCAAATAGGTCCTTAGCATTCCATACCTACCTATTTTACCCTTTAGATGTTAATCTCACTCGTAATTGCTTGATTGTCTTTAGACTGTAAGTTCCTTAATGATAGTGCTGTGCCTTGTGCACCACTATATCCCTTATAATTAACATAGTGATAGGCACACTGACTTCAGTCATTATCGGTGAATAAATTATTGAGTGTACAGTGCTTGCACACACTTTTAGTGAACTATATATAGAATTTAAACACTACACCTAACCAATCAAGTCACCAGTTTCTATAGCCCTTTAATGTAGAAGAGATTTCTTATTTTCTACTACACATCCTATGGAAGGAATGATCTGAATACAAATACACTACCTTTTGCAAAATGCGAGAAATTTTAAGACTAATTTAACTGTTATGTCTTAGAAGAACCTGTAGAAGATTACATTGACAGAATTCTTAACGCATAGTGAAAAGAGACAATAAAAGGAGTTTTTTTATTCAAAGGTATAACTGGATAAGTAGATTTGTTTACAACCATTCTTGTGAAATACTTTTTAAAAAAATATGACCAACTTCTTTGCAAAGAGCAGACACATACCTCAACTATGATGACCTAATTTGGGTGGATATGTACATGATTAGGCAGAAATAGGCAAGCTCACACTGGTAGCTTAACTATCAAATACTCAGTCAAAACTCCGTTTGTGGCCCCCACTTCTTGATCGATTTCTATTCCCACTTCGTCGTCTACCATCTTGTCGACTTCCTGACCGACTTCCCTGTCGACTCTGTCTACCTGACCGGCCACCAGATCGACCACCTGACCGGCCAGACCGGCCTGACCGGCCACTTGACCAGCCACTCCTCTGCCTGAAGTTAGAAGATGTGTTTCCATCATAATATTCTTCAATTTCAGGTAACTTGGCTGGCAATGAAAGTATCCAGTCTGAATCATGCCACTCTGCCTGTGGGGGAATTTAGAGGATTAATATAAATGCAAAATGGAAACCATAAGCAAGCATATGAGTACAGAAGATTCTTTTTTAATATCCATCATCTATTAGCTAAAGGCCACCTATCCATTTAAATTCAAAGTATCTGAAACAAAACTGAAAACCAGAAAACAAAAACAAAAACATATTCGAAGCTCATTCATTAAAGTTCCTAAATTTTAGTCTTAGGAGAAACTCTCAGGCTCAGTTTGAGGCTCATAATTTCATACTCAATTTATACATTTTAAAAGAGAGCACACTGGGGCGCCTGGGTGGCTCAGTCAGTTGAGCATCCAACTCTTGATTTTGGCTCAGGTCATGAACTCAGGGTTATGAGATCAAGCCCTGCATCAGGCTCCACCCTCAGGGGGGGTCTGCTTGAAATTCTCTCTCCCTCTTCCTCTGATCCACCCCCACTCTCACATGCTCTCTCCCTCTCAAATAAATAAATATTTTTAAAAATTAAAATTAAAAAAATAAAAGAGCATTGTTTTCTTGGCATGAAACAAACAGGCCATTAATTAGTGCATGGCTTTCAGTGGTTACAGTGACAGAAGCAAGAAGTGAGAGCTAATGCTGGGGACTAAAAACCTGTCGAAAATATGTAACCACTGGAAATACTTTGGTATCAGAGTAAACAACTCAAGATTATGTGAATCAGCCGCTCATAAGCGCATCACTATATTATGTCCTGCTAAATTAACTATTATTCATTGTGATCATGAGTTGCTAAGGAAAGTGAATATTAAAATACCCTGTCAAGGGGCGCCTGGGTGGTTAAGCTACCGACTCTTGATTTCGGCTCAGGTCATGGTCTCAGGGTTGTGAGATCGAACCCCGAGCTGGGCTCCACACTCGACGGGGAGTCTGCCTGAGGTTTCTCTCTCTCCCTCTTCCTCTGTCCCTCCCCCTGATCGCACGCTCTCTCTAATAAATAAATAAATCTTAAAAAAAAAAAAAAAAGTGCCCCTAATAGTTAGGTATATGGAAATATTCATGGTTGAAATGATAAAATACCTACAATTTGTTTCAAAAGAACACATACAATTCTTAAACCCCTTCATCTATTTCACCTAACCTGCCACCCACCTCCCCTCTGGCAACCAATAGTTTGCCTCTATATTTAAAGATCTGTTTTTTTCTGGCTCTTTTTTCCTTTGTTCATTTGTTTTGTTTCTGAAATTCCAGTATGAGTGAAGTCATATGGTATTTGTTTTTGTCTTAATCTTATTTTGTGTAAAATAAAAAATTATAAAAACTTATTTAAGCACACTGGGTATCATATGCAAGTGCTGAATACCTGAAACTAATATAATACTGCATGTTAACTATACTGGAATTTTTAAGTTTATTTAAGCATTAAATAAAATATTGTTGTCACTTTCTCCTAGTATAATATGGAAGAGAAAATCAAAGCTGAATTTGGGGGCAAAAAAAGAATACATATAGGAGAGTGGGAAAATGGATGGAAGTGACATGAAACCACGAAACAAACTGGCCATGAGCTGATCATTGTTGAAGCTGAGTGATGGGAACATGAATATTCATTACACAATTCTGTTTTTTATATCTGAAATTATTTATAATAAAAAATGTTTTAAATTATGATATAGACTAGATATATTACATTAAGGAATGTTAATTGATTAAGACATCATAAGGATATTGTCACTTTTTAAAAATTCCTCTTTTTTAGAGAAACCTACTCAATTTAACATAAAATTTTAAAAATACCTGTAACCTTTCTGATTCAGTTGTGGGAACGTCAAAGCAAACACCCTAAAAGCAAAATGAAAACATTTTTATTCAAATGCAGATGGGTTGATTTTTTACCAATACACTAATACTTGGTGGTAATTTTATAGAAGCTAAAAAAGAAAAGATAGGGCACGCCCCATGAATGTTTACAAGATTAAAACAGCTAACATATAATAATGCATGACACAGAGTAGCAGCTTACTGTATTTTCTAAATCTGAAAAGTAAACACAATATCTAATAGGAATCTACTACTACTACTACCTAGAATCTAGAGTGTTCTCTATAAAAGTTCTTGTTGACACTATAATGTTTAAAGTATAAATTCCTTGAAAAATTTAGTACCGGAAAGTTTCTATCCTGAAGAGCTGCAGTGTTTATCAGATAATAAGAATGGTATAAAACATGATGTTTCTTTTTTGGTCCTGGCTGCCAATAAATTGAAAGTTAATTTACTTCTCAACTATGGCAATTAGTTTGGCCTAAGTTTCTTGTTTTATTTTTCCCTCCCCTCCACATTTTTTTCTTCATGCATATATTTGTCTCACTCTTGCCACAAAACATTCTTGTGGTAATAGTAAACTTTGAAAGAAATGATTCTTTCTAATAAACAATCTAATAAACAAACTCTAGGTTAGAATAAGCCTATGTAGTAAATTTAGAAGAATAAATATAGTATCTTTTTTCAATCCATTAAAGAAACAGAGTCACTAAGATTAGAAATCTTTGCTGTTTCAAAAATGTATTAAAATACTAATTTATTTAATTATCCTCTTTAATAACCAAGAGCAGGCCACTTAAAAGTCAATATTGAGTATTCTCTGAGTAATAGAGCTGTTTAGCTATTGAAATCATAAGTTACTTAGTCATGGAATAAAACACCACACACAATCACACAATATGTATCCAAGAGCAGAAACTTAGATAACTTGGTTATTACACAAATTAAGCAGGATGATTTACAGCTTTCTACCCAAAGGGGTAACTTATATAACTCCGCCAAATTTACAAGAGGAAACAAACTATCACTCAGAGAAAACTGCATTATTCATCCAATTAGACTTCAAAAAAAAAAAGGAAAGAATAGAATCTTTTTAAACAAAGAATTAATGTCTTTAGAGACATTTACAGTAGCTGACTGAGAAGCTTTTGACTTGTCTAGAAAAACCTACCATATTTCCTTTTAGGAGGCACATTCTGGTAATTTGGGACACAGCATTACTACTCAGCTTTCTGTTAAGTTCTTTCCATGCACAGCTGATATCCTCTATTTCTTCTGGGCTTTCCAGAGTCATGGTGACAAACCCCTTAAGAAATAAAAGTCACATTATCTTTGGAAAAAAAGCAGCAGCAAGAGGACAATGAAGTTCCAACTCTGCAGCCCTTCATGACTTCACTGTACATTTCTCATGAGCCATCAGTATAACGTGGCTGCCAAAAAAAAAAAAAAAAGTAACTTTTCTTAAATAAAGATTTTACTTAACATTTTAAATCTTTAGAGATTTAATTCTTTAAAAATAAAGATTTATTTTGTCAGAGAGAGTGTGTGTGTGAGAGAGCACAAGCAGGGGAAGCCACAGGCAGAGGGAGAAGCAGACTCCCCACTGAGCAGGGAGCCTGAGGCAGGACTCGATCCCAAGGACCTGGGATCATGACCTAAGCTGAAGGCAGATGCTTAATCGACTGAGCCACCCAGGGGTCCCAAAAATAACTTCTTTAAAACTATATTAATAGAAGACTAATGTTTACAGATCACTGAAAGAACCATTCTTCTTTGTATTTCTGTAAAGACTATATATTTCATTCTAACCATCATGCTTTAAGAGATAACTGGAGCATCAGAGAAAAGATAAAGTAGTGAAAACCGAGGAAATGCTGAAAGAGTCAAAGTTAACTTGAGTGGAAAAACAAGAAGACATAAATCTCTCTAAACTTTTAAAGGACTATTACATATCTAAAAATTGCTTGTTCTATAAAACTTCACCAGACAACAAAAAGATCAACATGAAGAAGATATAGGAAGGGATTCATCTAATAATTCTGTTCTGGTTTTTTTTTTGTTTTTTTTTTTAAGTTAGCTCTACACCCAGCATGGGGCTTGAATTCACAACCCCAAGATCAAGAGTCGCATGTTTTACTGACTAAGCCAGCCAGAAGCCCCTCATCTAACAAATACCTACTGAGTGTCCTCTATGTATGTGCCAGAGACTATAGTAAGTGCTATAGTTTCAGCAGTAAATAGTCCTTTCTCTCATGCAGGTTCATTCTAGTGCTGGGGGTGGGGTTGGTGGGGATGAGGTGGGATAGACAGTAAATGAATAAGCAAATATGTAAAATGCCCAATAGATGGGTGCCTGGGTGGCTCAGTGAGTTAAAGCCTCTGCATTCGGCTCAGGTCATGATCTCAGGGTCCTGGGATCCAGTCCAGCGTCGACTCTCTGCTCTGCAGGGAGCCTACTTCCTCCTCTCTCTCTGCCTGCCTCTCTGCCTACTTGTGATCTCTGTCAAATAAATAAATTATTTTAAAAAATAAAATAATAAAAATAAAATAAAATGCCCAATAGTAATAAGCATCATAAAGAAAAATAAAGCAGGGCAAGGGAACAGAGAGTAAAGGGAAAGAAAGGTAAGCTAGTTATACAGGGTGATCAGGAAAGACCTCTGTAATGTGGTGATATTTGAAGAGACCTAAATAAAGTGAAGGAGGAAGCCATGTGGTACAAAGAACGAACACCTGAAACAGTGCAAGTGCAAAGGTCTTGTGTGGAAGTATATTTATGTTCAAGTAACAAGTAGGTTAGGGTAGCCAAAACAAGCACGGGCAGAGTGATGAGATGAGGTCAGAGAAGTACCATGGGGATGACCCTGTAGGACCTTTGTGGTAAAGGCTTTGGATTTTGGTTGGACTATAAAAGAAAATTTCAAACCCACTAATAGAGTTTTTAAGATATTTAATCAGAAGTTAGATGACCCATCTGCCAAAGAGGGATTCTTTTATTAGATAAGGGTTGGGAACAAATGATCTCTTAGGTACTTTTTGGCTCTAAAGGCTATCTTAGTATTTTCCTAAAAGGTAAGGCTTAAGTATTTTCTTAAGTATTTGGTGGTAGGGGCGCCTGGGTGGCTTAGTTGGTTAAGCGTCTGGCCTTGGCTCAGGTCATGATCTCAGGGTCCTGGGATGGAGCGGGGCATCTACTTCTCCCTCTGCCTCTCCCCGTGGCTTGTATTTTCTCTCTTACTCACTCTCGCTCGAATAAATAAATAAAATCTTAAAAAAAAAAAAAAAAAAAAGTAGGGGCGCCTGGGTGGCTCAGTGGGTTAAAGCCTCTGCCTTCCACTCAGGTCATGATCCCAGGGTCCTGGGATCAAGCCCCGCATTGGGCTCTCTGCTCAGCAGAGAGCCTGCTTCTCTCCCTCTCTCTGCCTGCCTCTCTGCCTACTTGTGATCCCTGTCTGTCAAATAAATAAATAAAATCTTTAAAAGAAAAAAAGTATTAGGTGAGTTATTAGGAAAAGGGTACTTGTTCACTGCTAAAGCACTACCCCACATATTACTAATTACACAGTGTAAAAGATACCTTTACAATTGGAATATAACTTTCCATTATAAACAAGTGATCAAACTAAGCATTATTAGTACTAAAACAATCTGACATTATATACCTCCTGATGTTACACAGTATAAAGTACATTATCACCCATAGGGTACTTCGGCCAAAACTGTTTAACCTGAATATAAAATCAAGCTTTCACTTTACTTCCAGCTTACAGGGGAGGCTGAATAAAGGCAAAAGTTAAAGATGTATGAAGAAAAGAAAACCAGAAAAACCCAGATAAGAAACTCTAGACTCTGATCTAGACAACTAACCTATATTCTTCAAATAATTAATAAAATTAATAAAAATGATGGGAAAACAGTTCCAGATTAAGAGAAACGTAATACCAAATGTAGCATATGAACTTGAATTGATCCTGATTTTTTTTTTTTAAGATTTTATTTAAAGAGAGAGCAAGCGAGCACATGCACAAGTGCATGCATGGGGGTAGCACACAGGGGTCAAGGGGCAGATGGATAAAGACAGGCAGACTCCATGCTGAGTGCAGAGCCCAACATGGGGCTCAATCTCACAACCCTGAAGATCCAGGTGTTTTTTTTTAAAGATACACAGTGTGAGGAACACCTAGGTGGCTCAGTCTGTTAAATGTCTGCCTGCAGCTCAGAGGTCATGATCTCAAGGTCCTGGGATTGAGTCCCACATTGAGCTCCCAGCTCAGTAGGGAGTCTGTTTCTCCCTCTCCCAGTTCATGCTCTCTCTCTCTCTCATATAAATAAAATCTTTAATAAAAATAAAATAAATTAAAAAATAAAGATACACTGTGGGGGGAGGGCATCTAGGTGGCTCAGTAGGTTAAGGCATCCAACTCTTGGTTTCAGCTCAGGTCTTGGTCTTAGGGTCATGGGATGGAGCCCTGCATCAGGCTCTGCTCTGGGTACAGAGTCTGTTTGGGACTCTCTGTCTCCCTCTTTCTCTCAAAAAAAAAAAGAAAAAAAGAAGATACACAGTGTATGGAGAGGGGGAGGGAAGAGTTGGGACACATGAAGTCACTCCCAGCAAAATGACATTTGACTAAACTGTTAACACTTGCCAGATGGAAAACATCAGCCACCCCGATGTGCTCATTCATACTATGCCAAACTGTCACATGCAAGTTTACCTGCCCTGACCTTTTTGTTCTCCTCTTTCACCAACTCTCCCTCTTCCTCTCAATCTCTGTCCCCACCCAAACATCAGAGAGCTTTCTTGCTGAGTGGTCCTGCCATCCAGGGACTCTCCTCACTTATACCCTGATGAGTAGTAAGTCTTTGAACTACTTGCAACCAATGGGTCTGGTGTGGTTTGTTTTAACAACTGATACTAACCAACAAGGGGCTAGGTCAGATGGTATCACACTACACACACACCCCACCCCATACACATAGCCCCTCCATATATACAGGTAATCCTAACTTTGCATGGTGCCGAATCGATGCTTGGATTTATGTTTATCTATGCACAGAATCTATGCTTTGATTTGTATGGTTCCATGGCAACTTACAAAATAAAGAATAGGGTCTTGTGTGTAAGTTTCAGTTAACACAGTACTGTGCAAAGTGAAAGTCTCTTGTTTTTCTCTCCAGATAGAGGGATTATCTATGGTTCAATTTTAATCTTTTCTCAACCATACATGATTTTCTCATAGATTTCTACCTTATCAGAGGTGATCAAAGATCGTGGTTCAAAACTTGATGCACCAGAGATGTGGGCTAATGCTGCAGCCAATGCATCCACTGCCCCTTTCTCTTCTATCAATCTCTGAGCTGATGGTCGGAAAAAATCAACAGCAGCATAAGAAACGGAAGCCAGAGACCTATGGTGTAAAAAGAGTAGATTTTCTTGGTCAAGACAAAGGTAAAAAACTAAATATAAGAGAATGAATGGGAAAAGAAAGAGCAACGTTTTCGTACTTTAATATAACTTAAAGTCTGCTGGTAAAACTGGTGATTAAGTTTTCTGATATTTGAACTAGGAGAGCTTAAAGATGAATAGCCTAATACAAAAGAAAAACTTATTCAGCAAGGTCAGAAAGCATACCTGATGGCATCCATGCTTTTAGATTTAACTAAATCCATTGTAGAAGGTACACCTACACGTTTAAAAGTAATTCCCTGAAAATGAAAGAATTACATTAAAGAAAAATGGAAGTCTTTACAATTAATTCCTAAATTCATATAGTTTGTTGAATTTCCATTTCTTGGACTTAAAGATTTCAAGCCCCAGTAGATCAAAAGACCTGCTTTTTCTAATAAATCATCAATTACAAATTCTAGGAAGAGAAAAAAAAATTTAATTGCCCTTAGTTACAGTCATGAAATTTCACTGCAAAATAAAGCTGATTCTAAAAAAGGAAAAAAGATGCTGATCACCTCTATCAACTTTTTTTTATTACCCTATCTCATTTTACAAAGTAGACGAAATAGCATTTAAAAACACACATCATGAAAATAGGGGAAAATGTCAAATATCACATACACAAAAAAAATACAGGCCACAAAAAACGTATACAATTTCTTACAGAAACTGGCCGTTTTTACCTTAACTCAATATCATCTTAAAAAATACACCAAGACTATGGCAGTCACCCCTTTATAATACTGGACTATGAGATACTGAAATCACAATGCGCTTCTGATTTTAGAATCAAGGGAGAAATTCAAGGGAAAAATGAGAAAGTCAGCTCTTCTGTCTTCACAATAAAAGCTGTATCAAAACAAAGTCTTGCAGCTCATATAAATTTAGCTCTCCACATGCTTCACATCCAAATGCAGCTTAAACTGAGAAAAGTTATAAGCATCTATTTGTGAAAACAAATATAACAAGAGCTCTTTTCTAAGGCACCATTTAGATAATAAGCCTGAAATAATTTAACTCTACTTACTGCTTTTTGTTCCACATATCTTAGTTGACCTCTTTCTCTGGGTTGATAAAAACATATGCAAATCCCTGTCCGGCCAGCTCTACCTGTGCGTCCAGAACGATGAATATAGGACTCAACATCCTGAAAATAAAAGAAGCAATACTTTTTTAAAATCTGGCAAAAAAAAAAAAAAAAAAATCTGGCCAGTAGTCATTCCAACAACGAAATAATAACGCTAACAATAACAAAACTGCTACTACCAATAATAACATTTTTATTTCAAACCTAGTGCTCTTTCAACATCCTTTTATGCTGAATATTTGGATAAAACAGGATTTAAAATATTTATCCACCGCATCCCAAGGCTCTTCATATGACAACTTTTTATAATCCCTCTGCATGATTCCATGCTTCAAATCCAAAGAAAAGTTAACATCTGCTAAGACATCAGATTCTGACCAATTTAATACGGCATCAGTAAAAAATGGTTAACAGCAAGAACAGAATTTAAGCGGGGGGGGGGGGGTCTTCACAGCAGCAATGGCCAGTCACCAAACTGTGGAAAGAACCAAGATGCCCTTTAATGCACAAATGGATAAAGAAGATATGGTCCATAAATACAATGGAGTATTATGCCTCCATCAGAAAGGATGAACACCTAACTTTTCTATCAACATGGATGGACCTGGAAGAGATTATGTGAGTGAAATAAGTCAAGCAGAGAGAGTCAATTATCATATGGTTTTACTTACTTGTGGAGCATAAGGAATAATACGGAGGACCTTGGGAGATGGAGAGAAGTGAGTTGGGGGAAATCGGAGGGGGGAGACAAACCATGAGAGACTGTGGACTGAGAAACAAACTGAGGGTTTTGGAGGGGAAGAGGGTGGGGGGTTGGGTGAGCCTGGTGGTAGGTATTATGAAGCGTACATATTGCATGGAGCACTGGGTGTGGTGCATAAACAATGAATTTTGAAACACTGAAAAAAAATTTTTTTAAATATATCAAAAAGGACATAATTTCATAGTGACCCGAAGGGGCACATGCACCCCTATGTTTATAGCAGCAATGTCCATAATAGCCAAACTATGGAAAGAGCCTAGATGTCCATCAACAGACAAATGGATAAAGAAGATGTGAGACAGACAGATATAGATACACACACACACACACACACACACACACACACAATGGAATACTATGCAGCCATCAAAAAATGAAATCTTGCCATTTGCAATGATGTGGATGGAACTAGAGGCTATTATGCTAAGCAAAATCAGAGACAATTATCATATGCTCTCATTGATATGAGGAATTTGAGAAACAAGACAGAATTATAGGGGGAGGGGAAAATGAAACAAGATGAAACCAGAGAGGGAGACAAACCATAAAAGACTCTTAATCTCAGGAAACAAACTGAGGGTTGCTGGAGGGGAGAAGGGTGAGAGGGAAGGGGTGGCTGGGTGCTGGGCACTGGGGAGGGTATGTGCTATGGTGAGCACTGTGGATTGTGGAAGACTGAGGAACCACAGGCTTGTACCCCTGAAACAAACGATACATTATATGTTAATAAAAAAAGGAGAAAATTTAAAAAAAAAAAGGGGAGGGAGGGTAAGCACCATTACAAGGAAATGGAATGGGTGAAACCTCCAAACTAAACAAAAGCCAGGACAATAGCGCCTACCTGAAATGTCTGACTTTTTCCAACTTTTCATAATTAACTTATTGAAAGTTAACTACTTAATACTATGGAAACTAAGTAGACAGGTGCTGTAGCCTCTGTTAAAGCCTTTCTGAAAGGCCAATCCCAGAAGTATGATGACTATTACATTTAGCTAAAATCTGCCCCCTAAAATTTCAGGCCCCACTTCTGCTCTCAAATCATTAATGAGGGTACTCTTTCCCACATCATCATCTTTCAAACATTTGAAAAATAATCTGGTCTCCCCACAAGACTTCAGTTTTTTCACCCCTAACCCAGGGGTCTCTTCTGGAATGTAATGGGGTTTGGCCAGGTGCCTCTTCACTTGAGCATTCCACAACTGAGTATCTTCACTGAATCGGAGCAGGTAAGCCAGGACCTCTCCACCTGTAGGGACAAGTCTGTGCTCCCCCGCTTCCTACAACGCCAAAATATTGCTGTTGTAAAAGCTCTCCATCAAAAAGACCCATGCACAGCCAAGGAAAGGGAATTCTAAGTCATGCACCATAGGAGTTCAGGGACAATCTTTGCTCTCACTGACTGACCTTATCTCAGAACAGAATCGGTCACAAGTTGAATCACTAAGGAAGTAACAGTAAAGATGTAGACAGCGATCAAAGTAACTTAAGACCACTACACACTACCGACCTCTATCAAAAATACGGTGTACACTCAGCACCGCAACACATCTTTATATTTCCACGGGAAAACCTGGTCCGTAGACATTAAGACGACTACTTCATGTTCTAAAGGCTGCTGGCCGGAAAACACTGTACTTCCCTCACCACTCAAGCGTCACTGCAGACGCCGCTCACGTGTGCAGGTGGAACTGAAGTGCGGCTATGCCTAGTCCAAAGCTTCAGTCCCTACCTTGACCGACAATTCCCTCCGCACACGCTCAAGCCCAGAATCAGGTCAGGGCCTGAGCCAGCAACGTGGGGCCCGAGCCTGCACAGAGCCTGCACATCCGAGTGCCCGACTGCTGGGCACTCAAACTCCCGGACCACGTGCGAGCGGCGCTCAGCGTAGCGCCAGACCGCCCCGGCCGCTCGCTCGGCCCCCGCCCGCGGAAGGCACGGCCCCCTGGCACTCCTGCGGTCGACTCCACGCTGGGCTCCGGCCGCGCCAGGTCCGCGTGCGCGCCACGGGCTCCCAGCCCGGCACCCCACCCCGCTTCCGTACCCAGCTCCTCTCAGCGTCCCGGGTCCCGAGGCCCTCGGTGGCACCCTCTCACCTGCTTTCGCGGTATTTCCACTTTTTCCATGGCCGTGTCTGAGTCCAAGTCCGCGTCACTGAGGAGTTTGCCCGGCATCGCTCAGCGCAAGCAATTGAGGCCGACCGGTCAGGTCCACCGCGTGGAGAGGAAGAGACGGTACCACCCGTTTGGAGCGCCCACCTTCGTCACTTCCGGTAGCAAAGCAGTTCCTGCGGAAGCAGAAAGTCCCAGGGAGGCGGGAGCCCACGTGGTCGCCGAAGAGTAGTGGCTGCTCCACCTGGTGAGGGATGGTGGTGAATTCCCCGCTCACCGCTCCCGGACTTGAAAGCTCGGACTGGGAGGAACCGCAAAGGCTGGCAACCGCTGATTCTCCCTAGCCCTGGCCTGTTAAATGACCTGTTGCTTTTACGTGGTGTTCTTCAGTGCTTTATGTTAGATTGCTGGAGTTTGCAAGATCTTTCACGCGCAGACGCGGCAAGTGTGTATGCTTGATCACCTTGTGGAAATGACACTGAGAGGAGACGCCCAGACTCACAAGCCTGGGTAAGAACTAGAATTCGGTCGGGCTTTGGTCATTCCTTTATTCGTGCACGTAGACATCCCCTGAGCATTCACTGTGATGTCAGGTGAGAAACAAGGCTAGGACCCAGTAACGGACAACACACAAGAGGTGTCATCAAGAAACTTTATAGACTGGTGGGAGATGGACGGATATCAGCTGTTCTGAAGACACAGGGAGGCACCGGAACCGCCTTTGGGACCAGTAGAAAGGGCGCCCAAACCACACGAACCTCTATAATACAAGGCTCCAAATCTTGCATATGTGGGCAATACACTAATTCAAGGAGTTGAGGGAAAATGGTCCATTGAATGATCTGTGACAAAGTCGCTAAACTTCTCTGAAGAACTAATGATCCAAAGAATTGGGAGCCACTTCCACACAATATCATTTTTGGAAATCAGTTGAAATAGAACCGGCTGGTTCTGTGATTTTGCACACATTACTTAATCTGAATCAGTTTCTTATGCATGAAATGGGGATAACAAACTTAACCTCATGGGCTGAGAACGTTGAGATAATGAATGAAAAGGGTTTAGTAGTGCCTAGGACATAAAGCACGATAATTGAGAGCTATTAAAACTTGTACGTATTTAGAAAGACAGCTTAAAATATAATCATTTTCATAAAATGAAATCAAAGGAAAATGCTATTAAGTTTTATTTCTGTATTTCATACTATTAGTTTTTACTGCACATTTTTAAATGACAGTTTAAAGGAAAATTTCATGTTTCACATAAACTATTGATGTTTCACAGTTTCAGTTTTTTAAAGCAATGTTTTAACTTATACTCTGATATCTTTAAGCTAGGAGCCTTGATTTATCCATCTTTGTATCCTGAAGATTTCAAACAGCGCCTGGTACATAGGCACACAGATTGACACTAAATGTTGATTGACCTTTAAAATGGCCATGTTGGGGGTAGGGGTGAGGAAGGAACTCCTTGAGATGAATTTTAGCTATATGCCCAGGCAGGAAAGCAATTCAGTCATCCTGGTATTAGGTGTGGGATAAGGGGGAGCAAGCATGAATGCAATCAACCAACTGACAAAAAAGGCTTAACATCTGGGACTTCAGCATCGTACTTCAGACCTCGGAGTACCTAAGTGAAGGCCCAGTCCCTGCCTCAAGGAACCTCTTTGATACGGCCATGATACTGCTAAAAATAGTACAGGTGCATTTGTATTAACAATAAGAGGGTAAGCCTGCAACGCTACTTAATAGAAAATTGTTATCAAGGCTTATGAACTATGTAAATTCCTTTGTAATATACCTGCACACAGGCATAAGGCCAAAATCTAAGAGGAAGCATGCAAAGGTTCCCTCTGGCTTAAAGGCAGCCAAAGGACTGTATTAAATCTAGTTATCAGTATAAAATTCAGTAACAAGTGGGAAAAAAATGAGTCTCGTATATACATCTGATTGGAAATGTGAAGTTCTGTTTGGATATTGATTCTGCCAGACCAGTTTCCTCTGATGTAGAAAATGTAGTATTTTCATAAAATTGGGGGAAAATTTCTATTTCAAAAAGTATGCATACATAACACGCACACCTACAGTGATTCAGAAATCTACACAACAATATGATAGCAGTAATTATCTGAGTGATGTGATTATGGATGGTTTTATTTTCTTTCATTTGCTTCTCTATTTTTTTTCAAATTTTCAACAGTGGATGCACATTACTAATATGAAAAAAATATGGTTAAACATACTTACTAAGCACTGCCCACAAAACATATGAAACAAAAACAATGAGAGAAGAAGCTCTCAGACATTCACACCTAAATGTGAACTCATTTAAATTTCTAATGCTGAAGGGAATAAAACAGATACTTACAGATTTAAAACCTGAAGATCAGGGTAACTGGTTTAATTGAATTCTAATAGCTGTTAAGTGACCACACTAGGGCACAGAATACCAAACAGGAGGCTCTGAATCGCCAAAAGGAAGCATGAAGGTGCTGGGCTCTATGAGAAAGGAGCAAAAATAAAGGGCTGAATGCAGCCCAAAGCTGAGAATTCTCCCCCCCCCCCACCTTCTTCTGGAAGGTATGGAAAGCTATTACTAATCTTGTCAGGACCTGCTCCACTTCCCTTGCTCATAGGAAAACCAGCCTTTAGCAAGTGGACCCCTAAAATCTACCTCCACTCTGCTAGTGGTTACCTACATGCTTTTCTTTTTCACTCACTTCCCTGACACTCTTCAATGTCTGTCCTAAACAAGGCCTACAAGGCCTTGCAAGATATGACTCTTGTCTTGTTCTCATCACTGCTTTCCTCAGAGCCAGCATCCCAGCAATGAGAGCTACTTATGGTTCCCCATACTTAGACCTTGTTTTATTAGCTATTCTGTGCCTTTCCTGGATGTCCATTCCCACTTCCCACTTCTTTTACCTGACTGAATTCATGTTCAATCATCACACCCAGAAAGCTTTCTGTAAACTCCCACCCCCATTCCTGGACTGGGCTGGGTGCCCTTGTGTAGAGCTCTCAAATTATTGCACTTAGTCACTGCCGTGGACCTAAGTTTATGTGTCCATTGATTTCACTAGATTCTAAGCTCCTGAGGCCAGAGACCAGACACACCTTACCTTTGTACCCCAAACACAGTGCCTGGGACACTGTAGGTATACGACTTACCCAGACTAAATTACCAGTACTCGTGCACCCTTGTAGGAATGGAGCCCCTTTCACCTTTCATACATATCCAGAGCTCACTACTACTCAGATGCAGAGGTGAGACTTTCTTCCCCCAAAGAAAGTTATCTGGAACCCCATTGCCCATAATCAAAATTTCTCCCTTTCTTAATCTTATCTAGAACTGAGTCCTCCCCACAAATCCCCGGCTTAACTGCAATCTGGCCCTTCTTGAAAAATACTCCTCCTGCAACTTTCCCATGCATATGTTGCTCATTCCCTACATCCCGTGTACCCTGGTATTACTGCCTTCTTCTCCTCCAAACCATTTCCAAACTAATACTCCTTCAGTATCATGTAAACGCCCTTGTCCCTTTGAGGACATGTGGCAATATCACCCTATGAGGAAGGGTCCTCATTCTGGTAACCTAACCTCCACCATTCATTGATAGTTTGGCACCTGGCTTATTCTTCCCCTCCCTCCTCGGTCTGGAGACTTCACTGTCCATAAAACCACCCACGCTAGCTTCTCTGTTCTTTGACCATCTCAACTGAAATGACCTACACCCCCATTCAGCCTACTACCAAACCCGACACTTGTCTTGTCCCGAAGTGCTCCACTCTTGAAATTTCAAATTCAGACAGCTCTCAGTGACCTTCAGTCCCCCGTCCCTTCCACATTCTCCCTGTCATCAACTCCACCTCCACTTCAGTTCTGAGGCAGTCTAGACTCCATAGCCCATTACTCCAGTAACTTTTGCCAGAGTCCTTAATATATCCACCTTGTCATCCTTTCATGTCCCAGAGCAAACCCCAATCCTAGATCAATCATCTCCCATCTCCACCCCTACAACAGAATATTGAGTATCACCACAGGAAATCCCTCAAGTGCTCTAATTGCTGCCACTACACATTCAGTCTCTAATGTCACCCAGACCCTCAAAGCTGCCTGTTAACACCAGTTTGCCTAGTAAGGTCTCCATCTTGCTCTACAGCTGTTGCCTCAGCATTTCTCCCATCTCCTCAGATCTCTGAGCCTGCTACTTTTCTCTCCACCCTCAGCAGACGACCATGAAAGAATACCACAGGGAAAAAAAAAAAAAAAAGACACCAGGCAGGAATCTGTCAACTTTTTACCTTAACATCTGCAAATTCAACTACATGATAAACATTTCTTCCTGGCAAAATGTTAAGAGATGTGCTTCTACCACCTAAGATCAAAATCTCCAGTGTGTGCTTAAAGCTCATCCTTCCAGGTCTTCATAGGATCTTGCTCCATCATATATTCTTTCCCTTCATCCCTCCTTTCTAACTCCTTCCCATATTAGTAGTTCATCCTCTGATTTCCCTCATCCTCCCCCAACACACACATACAAAAAACTGTCATCTCATGTCCTTTCTTTTACATCCAGCTTTAGCTTATTCTTCCTTACTTCACAGCTAAATTTCTGGAAGACATATTTGCTCTCCCTAGTGCTTTCTCTCATTTCTCTCATTTCTTGCTGAGCCCACTGATAAATGGTTTCTACTCTCCATACTTTATTAATATGGTTGCTCCCCATGTCACATGTCCAGTGGGCATCTCAGGTTCATCTTCTGGTTCTTTGGAAAGCCTCATACTCCTGGGCTTTCTGCTGCCTTCTCACCTCTTCTTGATGGTAATGGGATTCCCTTCCTCTGCTATGCAGTAAATACATTTTTCTGTCTCTGAGTTCCTCCCTAGTCCTCTTTTCTTCCTATATGTTCACTAGATAATCTCTTCCACTGCCTTAACTACACTAACCTTTTTAATTTTTTAAATTTTTCTTACAATTAACCTTTTTCAAAACTATGTCCAAATCTTTACAC